AACTACTAACTACTAACTACTAACTACTAACTACTAACTACTAACTACTAACTACTAACTACTAACTACGAACTACTAACTACTAACTACTAACTACTAACTACTAACTACTAACTACTAACTTCTAACTACTAACTATTAACTACTAACTACTAGCTACTAACTACTATCTACTAACTACTAACTACTAACTACTAACTACTAACTACTAACTACTAACTACTACTACTACTACTACTACTACTACTACTGCTTCTACCTCCTACTACTACTACTACTACTACTACTGCTACCATCCTTGCTACCACCACTGCTACCACTATTCCCACTACTATCACTACTACCTCTACCACCACTGCCACCCCTCCTGCTGCTACTACTTCTCCTGCCGGTGCTGCTGTTGCTGCTACTGCTACTGCTACTGCTACTGTTATTGCCACTGCCATTACCATTGTAACTCCCACTACCACTGCAATTGCCTTTGCCATTGCCATTGCTATTGCTGCTGCTGCTGCTGTGTCTGCTGTGGCTGCTACTACTGCTAGTACTGCTGCTATTGCTATCGCTACTGTTGCGCGGTGTGGTTGTCATGATCATGAAGGTGATGTTGATGTTGCTGCATTTGCTGTTGCTGCTTGGAGCTCTTTCAGCTATCCCTTGGACGTGAATGGGATCATGTAAGGCCACTTATGTGTATTGAACCTGTCGATGAAGTGAGGGGTGGGGCTTGCAGATGACGGAAGCTCTAGCCCGCAATGAGCTTCCGTCCTGGAGGAATACTTGCATGGCTGTGGGGATAAACTTGAGAAGCTTCCATTCCGCTGCTCATCTTCTTGCAGCTCCTGAATCCCAAGAGCAGGAGATCGCTGTGGTAGGAGGCCAGCAAGATGCGCCGGGAGCCCGGCCCTGGCTTTGCCCGTGCTCAGACCATGATCCACGCTGAATCGGAGGTTTTCATTTTAAGGGTTCAATGCCGGTTTGGTCTGATGAACTGCAAATGGGTTCTCACTCGTTCATCCATTCTCCCACTCCAACATCCATACTCATGGCGACATTCCAACCAACCCCAAACCCTAAAGCCCAAGGCCAGCCTGAGTTTGCCACCCTAAAACCTTCAGTTGGCTCGATGCTGAGTGGCGATCGAGCGAAAGATTTCACCATCACATAGCAACGTCATAGACACGTGCGATCGTCGCGAGGTGGTGCTCGAGCCTATCCTCGTGTGAGATTTGTAAACTATTCGGGCTTCGAGAGCACTTTGGATTGAACACTTGGGCTTCCGACTTGCGTCTAGCGGATCTCGGCGCGTCTAGTGGGTTCAGTCAGCCTTGTGGCCTCTTACCCGCCTGCCCAGGAGCGAGATGCCGGAGCTGACCTTCGATGAGTTTGTTGTCCTGGTGGAGCACACTGACTAGTGACTAGTGATCGGGCGTGAGAAGCCAGGTTTGGACATTGCGTATGGCCTTGGCACTAGATAGGTGGAGAGAGGATGACATCCGTGAACACCACATATTAGCAGTCTGCAAATCCCCGTACCGCAGACGACAATTGAGCTGTTCAGACCTATCTTCGGGCCTGATGGTAACAGGTTTTCACTCTACTAACATCAAGCTTCATGCTGCTGTTTCTTGCACCTGTCTTCTCACAGCTCGCGGGTTGCACAGCAGGACAAGCAGTCCAAACTTCTGCAAAGATGAGGTCGTTTCTTTTGCAGGTGTGCCCGAGGCCCAACCCAGCCTGGGATGCGGTATCATCCAACAGCTGGAAAGCCAGAGAGTACTGTCGACCACGAGTGCCGTGTGCTGCAGCTTGGACTGCTTGCCTGTTCCGTCGGATAGATTCGTCCTCACTCTCCACACGTGGTGTTTTGGCCGCGATGCTAACGCCAAATTCTCGAAAAGCTGAGAGTCTGGCCCTAAGCTCGGCCGAACCGGAGCCCCAAAGGCTCTCGCTACGCGTCCATCTTCCCAGGGGATGCGATGTAATGCTCTCGTGACTCTCGTGGTGTGGTGGTGAAAACCGCCGCCGTGCCATCGAGAGTCCAATTCAACCAGGGGTGTCGTCGAAGATGGGCTTTTCAGAGACGGTTCTGCAGGAAGTGCGTGAATGTCTTTGTTCCCGCCATACTACACCAAGCAGAAATCTTTCCGGGCGCGCAGCTGCAACATCTCAAGCCCCGCAAGCTTCGTTGAACCGCTGAGCGCATGAAATGCTTTGAATCCCCAGGACCTTTTACTCTAGCACAACACCATCTCCAAGACAGTGAGTAGCTCCAAAAGCGTGCAGGTAACATGGCAGACTGCGCCAAGCACCGTCTGGCATGCAACTCTCCATGCCCAAAACCGAAACCCTCCGCTGTGAAGCATCCGTTCTCTGTCGACGACACCCTGGTTCATTAGCTGAGGATAGAGAGACGGGTAATGTTGCTGTGAGACCGCGATGTGTCGTTACTTCACCGATGGCATCACATCGTTAAATGTTGTATCCTCCCATCGCCATGTTCCAGACCGCATCTGCTACAACTATATGCTGCCCCCGAGCTTGACGTCAGGTTGTCTCGTCGCCCTTTTGATATGTTTTTGTGGCCGGCTTGAATCGTTCTCTCTTTGTAGGAGGTTTGCAAAGGAATTCCATTGGACACGTGGGTTCTCTCTGAAAGCCGTGCCAGTAGCTCCTCAGCTGCGGGAGCCCCGAAAGAACCCTTGCTTCAGACCAGCCTCGGCACGGTCTCTACCTCGCACACCGCCGACTGCGGCTGCTAGTGTTAACCATAGTCGGAAGTTCTAGTGAAATAGTAGAAAGACGCAGCGGTCCTGAGTCCTGGGCTGTTGAGCTCAGATCTTAGTATGCATGGTAAGTCGATCGCGTTCCAAGGCTATAGCCGCTCTAGTCGCCTACCCCATATGCCTCACGCCGGCATTCCTAAACGCGACCGAGCTCCCGCCGCACAGCTGAACGTCCCAAGAAGATGCACACAAAACACCACACCCTAGACTCCCTTCAACTCCAGGTTTTTAGGAGTCAGGACGGCCACGAGCATGCATGCTGAGGATGTGCATAGTTTCGAGTCGCAAATAAGGGAGAAGGATTCATCATTTTTTAACGTCTGGTGTTGCCCGAAAACAGCCTGAACAGCTAGCACCGTTCCTTCGGCGGAGCGGGATTCGGGATTGTGGTTCATGGTTCGAAGTGTCGTCAGCCCCCATGCCCAGACAGAGACCCCTAGCCACAATACCTGCCTCCTCGCCATCAGCGCGCCATGGAGCTGCCACAGGCTGCATGGGCAGTCGATTTATCCATGGGTCCCAGGTTCGTACAAGCCAACCGACAGCGGAGGCCGTCTACAAAGCTAAGAATGCCGATTGATTTTGCACATGCTCAACGGTTTGTCCAGGCAGCCTTTTAACATCTCTTTCCAGAAGAGTGTTGTTTGAAAAGCCTCCGAGTCTTAGCAGTGCCTGTGAACATAAGAGCAGCTGTAACACCTGGGAGTCTAAGACCCGGGTTCTGAACGACCTGGCACAACTTGCATGTTTAAGGAAGTGCATTCGAGGCGCAGCGCCTTGGATATTCTGGGTTCAGATCCGGCTTGCACGCATCTCTGCTCAGCAGGCATGTATGCATGTGTATATATATATATATATATGCATGCATGCATGCATGAATGAATGCATGAATGCATGAATGCATGAATGCATGAATGCATGAATGCATGAATGGATGAATGGATGAATGGATGTATGTATGGATGTATGGATGTATGTATGTATGATTCTTGAGAAGCACGATTCCTCAAGTTATTCGCGGCTTTAACTGGTCATGCCTTGTGCTCCGGTTTCGGAACTTGGATATGAGGTTGCAGGTTCAGGCTACATAGACTGTGACTACACGTTTGTCATCCTTATGAGTGTCATGAGTACCCTTGTTGTTTGTTATGGAGCTTTAATTTCTAGTAGTTTGTAACATTGTAAGTATTGTTTGCTGTGGTAGCCCCGATTGCTCATGACGATTGTTGTTCTGCCGGGTCAGCATCTTGACCAGGACATACAAGGATGGCTCATTCTCCTCGCGCGGATCGCATTGCCGCTGCCCCGGAGGTTGGGGAGATGTACATCTTTATCTTTGGTATGAGAACAGTTTGCAGTTGCGAAGTTAGTTCAGGGATTTTGACGATGTTGTCGCTGCACTCCTCCTCCTCCTCCTCCTGCCCGTGGCCCTGCTCCCGCTCCTGCTCCTCCTCCTGCTCTTCCTGCTGATCCTCCTCTTCCTCCTCCTGCCCCTCTCCTCTTGCTACTCCTACTCGCGCTGCTGCTGCTGCTACTGCTGCTACTGCTTCTGCTAATGCTTCTGCTGCTGCTGCTAGTTGGCAATTTGGGGCATGCAAAAATTCGGGGTCCGGTTTCCTCCTGCAATCAATCCAGCAATCAATTATGAATTAAGAATTAAGGATTAGGCATTACGAATTAGGCGCTGCTCACTCTACTTTCAGTCTGTCAAGGATGCAATGTGGAAGAAGTCATGGATCTTGGATTGACGATACGGCCTTGTTTGGACAGTACCAAGCGGCGTAAAAGCAATTAAAACCGTTCTGCAGTTCTCCTTCCACATCTGTGTAGCATGCAGCGTGGTCGCTGCCCGGAAAAGGTACGGGCGAGAGATGTCCTGAAATCGGCCGTAAACTTCAACGCCTTCATGCTGCATGGGAACACTGCCTGTGCTATCCGCAACCCACAGACCACCGCCATCTTCATGCTCAGTTAAGGAAACAATGAGGCTAGGTCCTGCTGCACCTGCTGCTGCTGCTGCTGCTGGTACTGCTGCTGCTCCTGCTTCTGCTGCTGCTACTGCTACTGCTGCTGCTCCTGCTCCTGCTCCTGCTGCTGCTCCTGCTGCTGCTGCTGCTGCTGCTGCTGCTGCTGCTGCTACTCCTACTCCTACTCCTACTGCCGCGGCGGCTGCGGCTGCTGCTACTGCTACTGCTAGTGCATTTGCTACTACTACTACTACTACTACTACTACTATTACTACTACTACTACTACTACTACTACTACTACTAATAATTACTACTACTACTATTACTATTTCTACCGCTACTACTACTAGTACTACTTCTACTACGACTACTTCTATTACTATTACTACGACTACTACTACTACTACTACTACTACTACTACCCCTGCTGCTGCTGCTACTACTACTACTACTGCTACTACTACTACTACTACTACTACTACCACCACTTCTACTACAACACGACCACACGATTAGACTACTACGCTTGTACACTGGTACAATGTTGCATCCTGTTCTATGTGTTCCACAGTTTCGCTTAAACTATCCAACGAAGGCTAGCCAGCACTAAGCGGTAGCAGTGTAGCCGTCGTATTGGCACTAGTACTAGCGTCGGTTTCTTGGCCTCAGGCCCTCGGCTAGAGCATCCACGCCTAATCTTTTCCTTCGCCATCAGCATCATTTGCAAATGCTGGGTCGATGTTGCTCCGTCTTCGTGGACTTGGAGTCGGAGTTAAGGGCCAAGCCCAAACCCCAAACCAGAAATCTGAGAGCCTGCAGCTAGGGTCCGGGGTGTCGTCCTTTTGGAGGTGCAGGTTTGGGGTCGATTGCTTGCGGGGCTTCGGGGCACAGACTTCGAGGCGAGGTTGCTCTCAGCTTATGCCCTTCACTGTCTCTCTTCGCCTGGGCTTGCTGGAAATAGTACTCCGCAGATGCTTAGAGCCGGAAAGCCACCTTGTCATACCCTGACCGGCATCAGGAGCCCAGACATCATGCTCGCACTATAGTAGACCTGAGGTCTCCGTGGTTCCTTCAGCTGCATTCGGCATGGGTTTGACTTCGCGTGCTGTTCGCACACATGTTTCTAACGTTTATTGTATCTTTCCAGGTCTCCGGAAAAACAGAATTCTCGCAAGGTTTTAACTCAGACGCCTTTTTTTTGCTCCTTCTTTAAGATCCTCAAATGCTGTCAGCTGCGTTGTTTTGTGTTGCAGCTTGCTAAAGTCATCCAGGCTCGACAGCATTCAACGGTGTCTTTCGTTTTCGAAGGTGGTCTCGGACAAGCTTCCGCATAGCGTTTGCTGCAGGGTCAGCACTGTCAGTTTTCTTAGTCGTATGCCCGACCGAAATTAAGATGGCTCTGTGAGGTTCATCGCCGGAAGTCGCTGAAAGCTTCAACAAGGGCAGTGAGGGACTTCAGAGGGCGTCTCGCATCCTAGGCGGAGGCACACTTCCCAAAATGCACCAGCCCAGGCCAATCGTGGTGTTCTTTATCACTTTCGGCCCCAAGGTGCGTGGGGCTTGACAGAGTTCCTGGGACTGCTTTGCAAGGCGTTGTCATTCGGTCCAACGCCGACACGGTGATCTTAAAGTTCGGGGACTGGTTGCCAGGGGCTTTGCGTGCTTCGGACATGTCGGGCCCGATGTCACACAAGTGAAACTGGCTGCCAAGTCCGCTCCCCTGCCAGCTTGGACAGTGCTTGCATGATTGTTGCCAGGTCCACTTGCATGACATCTCCTGGTTTGCTTGCAGCACATACTCAGAGATCTTACCTTCCAGATGATTCTGCTTCTTTGCCTGGTCCTTTGTGTTCAGTGTCCGAACCGACGTCCACTTAGAACGATGCCAGTTCTTGTATCGTGCCACCTCAGACTCAGCATCATTGCTATACACACCAGTTTTCAGATTCTGAAAGTTAATACCTTGGTCACAATTGCCTCACATCTTCAAGCCTCTGTCCTGGCTTTCATATACACAAGGTAGTGATGAATGCATCCAGCTCTCAAAACCGCTTGCTCGTCACCGGACCTAGTTTGAATCAAAATGCACCTGCTCTTGCATGCAGAGCATGGGCGTGTCCGAGCAGCTTGTAGTGCATGAACACACACAACGCCTGCAAAGCTGGCGAATCCACCAAAGTTCATGTATCCAATGCCTTGTGCTGAATATGGGCTTGAACAGCTGAGCTACACTCGAAGAACTCTTTCCTGATCCATGGTGTGAGACCTGCCAACAAGGGAGAAGAACACGGGGTCTCCAGCCAGCGACTGCATGTCTTTCGAGCATGGTGCCACACACCACATACCCGTATATATGGATATATATATATATATACACATACATACATACATACATACATACATACATACATACATACATACATACATACAGACGTACAGACGGGTCATATCTACGTTACGTATGACCGACGAGCTCTTAAAGATACCATACCCGTATGTATGTGTATGTATAAATATATAAACATATATGTATATATATATATATATGGTCACCCCCCCCCCCATGACAGACCACCCCGTTGAAATCCCCGCTCCTGCTGGCGATTCCGGCCTGGTGCGTGGGTTCGGGATTCAAGCCATGCTTTCGTCAACCGAAGATAGGAAGCCACAAAAACAACAAGAATACGCAGATAATGCCCGAACTGCATTCATATGGCTTCAGAGCCCCCCAGCTGAGAGCAACAAAAACAAAACCCAACGATCCAGAGGGAATGCCGGAACCGTTTGTTTTGTTTTGTGGTTGTGCATGCTTTTTGTGTCTTTGTGGTGTTGGTGTTCTGAGTGTTGCGGAGACTGTAATGCCAAAACCCAAAAACACAAAAACCAAAACAGTTCCGGCATTCTCCCTGAGTCTCTACTTTTTCGTTTTTGGTCTAGTCATTCATCTTTGGTGCCGCACGACCGGAAAGCCCCATACCAAAGCCGCAAACCTTAAACCCTATCCCTATACCCAAGCATCTATGCAGTTCTTGTTAGGATTCTACAGCTATTGGTTTATGTAAGGTTGCTTTACAGGTGTTTGAAGACATTCTTGTAGGCAATATTCAGGTACCAGTAGCCGTTTTAGAACACATTCTTTCTTTCAGTTCTTGTGCTTACGCATGCCCATATGATCAACCGAAAATACTAAGCCCCACTCATGAGTAACCACTGCAACAGATCTCGCAGAAGTATCAATCATCAACCATATCGTTTGAGTAGACCCTAGTTGAGTAGTTTGATTCTATTCAAGCCGATTGTATATTAAGATAAGTAGTAAGTAGTGGTTATGTTTAATAACTGTCCGTTATCGTGTTTACACAGAGATCCCTCTGTTGAGCTGCCACGTATTTACGCAGAATCATTGCCAATAGTGTTGATCTGTTGTGGAGTCTTTTGCCATTAACTTAAGTTCATTACTTCATAAAGCCGTATTGCCAGATACGTGCCGGTATAACTGTGGCCTTAACACCACTACGTTAGAATTTTACGTGTATATATTTGTGATATTAACAGTACACTTCTGCAGTAGCAGCTATTCGTAGCAAGTCGCGACCCGCTGTTATAATTGTAGATTTCGGTAGTGTCATACGGCTGCAAGACTATCCAATCCCCACTTCAATCTTCGGTCATACCTAAATTACTACTTCATTCTTCCATGCATAAATTATCGGATCAAGTCCACGCAGCTTAGTTTTATTTTTATATTTACCCATGTTATAATTCCATTACCATGATTAATATCCCTGTTATTGTGGTTAGGGTTACTCTTCTGCTTCTTCCAGTACTACTAACCCTGTGAACATCCTGTACCGCCTCACTTCTTCTTAGTTCCTAATTACATTTTGCTGGATAAATCACTCTTTTGCGATTAGCTCTGGGTACTCGGGGCACTGTTCAACATTTGGTATGATCACTATTGCAGGCCAACGAAACATTATCAGGTACATGTTTCAGTTGTTGAGTCCTAGGTCTATTAACATTTTGATAAATATGTACCTACCACGTCCAAATCATTGAATATTCACACTTTTGCTGTAATAGAATGTTGTGCAAATCCGGTAGCACATTGAAGCTGGAGTTTTGATATTGTTGAAACTCAAAAAATATTTCAACATGTGACTGCTTGTTAAACTTCGTATTCCGCTAGGTTGGTGCTTGATATCTTATACCTATACCAAAAAAGCTTCGCATGTTTATTCTGATTCATCTTAAGTATGTGCATCAGTTACAGTAAGCCATGTCTTTCCTTCGTTGGTCGAACTAGGAGTTGTCTTTTGTCGGAAATGACTGTAAAGATGCTACACCTAGTGAATGATGACCATCGCACAATGGATTTGCAAAGCTGCAGGTCTTAAACAAGCCAAGGTTGAATAAACTATTGACTCAACGATAGGCTCGAGATACAAACTGAAATTGTCAACCCAGTTGCAGTACGCTTAAGCTTCTTTGAATTTAGCCACATGTATATTTTCGCTGCGATGGTCTGGCGCCGGGGGGGGTGAGTATATATATATATATACATATACTGTGATATGAATATATACACACATAAAAGAAGGACGGATGTGTCAGCATACACCCCGAAGATCCGGAACAGCCTGCACTCATCAGATCGATGCGTGGCTCTCCTCATGGGGTCCTCATTACAGCCCGTGCCCTTGGTTCGGAAGCTTTTTCCTGGGTGGGTTTTGGAGCTTCATGCTTGAAAACCGCAGCTTCAAGCTTGCAGGCTGATGGTTCAGGGAACTTGGGATGTTAGCCGACCATCGTTGTAAGCGTGGGCGAAGAGCTTGGCCCTTGCGCTTGTGTTGAGCTGTCACGATTCGCAAGTACTTTTGCCATGCCTGTTGACATTCGATGCAGCATGATGTCTTAACCCGTCACGAGATCAGCTACTCCGCTCCCGCCACCAAAGCGACTGCTGCCCTACAGCCCATCCAGAGGCCGAGATGAGATGCTCCGGCACTGGAAGGTCACACAAGGATGTTGCCACCTTAGGCTGCAGCATGGCCTAAGCTGATAGTTCTAGCAAGACTCGACGCTGCGAAGCTGAATGATGGGTCTGACAGAGTGACGGTTGGATATTGATGAGGATGCTGGCTCAGCGGAGGAGATGTGCATGACAATCCATCCAGACTTCGTATTTACTTGTAATGCATAATGCTAATTAATGTCTGCCGGCATCGTCCTCACAAGATTGTTCCTTTTCGTCATCATCATCATCATCATCATCAGCAGCAGCATCGTCATCGCAGCAACTTGATCAGCATCATCAAAATCAACACAAGCACCAACATTCCCGTGACCAGCGGCTGTCGGCATCATCATCCGTAGCACTTTCAAACATACATGGTGTGTTTGTCAAACCATAGGTTCGGATAAACTTCGTGAATGCATTCACGTTTCGCAAACTCTACAGGCGCCGCTACCATGGTTTTCACTTGTCCATGCTGCTGGTGGTGGACTTAGGTTAGGTACATTGAAAAAATTGGAGGTCGTTTAAGAGCACCATTGGTTGATGTAAAACAGCCCTTAAGCCCTGAGCTGCAACCACATGCTGCACCGTGAGCTCCTTCCAAGGCAAATTCTACAAATTTATGAATCCAAACATGCTACAGCTGTTCATAAGGCGATGGGGAATAACACACATGTCCTCAAGGCATTTGATTGAATCAACTTGCACAACAGTGGCTGGAAGACTCGAGACACATGCAAGACAGGCACACAGATAGGTAGGTGGAGGGGTTAGCTACTGGACAAAAAAACTTGCGTGCGACACACAATTCAGCCCCTATATGTACGAGTGTTTAAAATTCGGCTTGTTCGCACTTCGCCGGTATTGCTCGCATGGTCCATGGGGACTAATCGCGTTACCTTGGATTCACACCTTCACGTTCAGCGCCAGCATGCCTGAATCTCGGATGTGCCAGCCAGCCTTGAATTTTGAGCCCGAAGCCCGAGAAATTTTCGAAATCCAAGTGCCGTAAGAAGCTCGCTAGCTGAGCCGCCCAGGTCAGAGACCTCCAGCTTTCAGCAATCTCAATCTTGCGACAGCGGAGACGGCGCCGTCGCTTTTTCAGGCATTCCTATCTGCAGAGGAAAAGCCTGGGCAAGTCTAACGAGTCAAGGTTCGAGCGAAGAGGGGGTGAATATTTTTTGCTTGTAGTTTGCGTAGGATTTAGATCTGGGTGTCAGATATTTTTGACAAGCGGCCTTCACACGGAGTGCTAAGCGCCTTGTAGGCTGACACTAAGCACAGGCTGCAAGCCAGCGCGTGTGAGCCAAAGGCTACAACTGCTCCCGGCTGCCAATTTATTTTACGGCTCTGCGGTGATGCTATCGAAAGGTAGCTTGACATCAAGTGTCCCTGCGCTCTGCCCACTCATCCTCCTGGGCTGCCTGAGGAGCGGTGCCCCCAAAAGTTCCGAAAGGCTTGCCAGCACAATCTACAACGTGTTTGGTAGGGCACCGTCTCTGACGGCGCCGACAAGTGGACAAAAAAGCTTAGCAACTGGGCAATCGTTCCCCCGCAATTTGGAATTGATTCTGGGGTCGGCGGGAGGCCATGATGATACAGCTTTTCAAAGTTGACAATCCAGCCCCGTGTTCTTTAGCAGCACGGGCCGGTGCAGAAATCACGAACTGTGGGCGACCAGGCTAGCCACATACACAAGGGTTCCCACGCGGTTCCATTAGTAGAAGATTGCTCTGAAATTCTCGGTATGAGTATGTTCATTATGTTCTCAGCAACTAAGATCAAGGCTGCTTCGAACTCTGACCCTCATCAGAACCGCACGGCTTACCGTACCTGCCTATAAGCCCACAAATCCACTGCTCGCAGAAGCCGGAGCCTCCGCGACCGAAGGCCGTGCGCTCTGGTCACCGCTTTCCGGGGATTACTGCTCCACGTAGCATTATTTGGGATCAACGTTTTTGGTCTGGGCTGGGTTTTTTTTCCGCCCCGG